TAATTACCCAACACTTACTGAGCACCTACGACTCACTCTATATGACTGATTTGAGGAGTTGTTGAGGGCTCAGCACTGCACTGGGTGGTTTAGAGAGTGAGAAAGAAGGTGGAACATAAGCATTGCTGTAAAGGCGGTTTTTAGATGTGATTAACGTTGAAGTCCATAGACTTCGAGTCAAGCGGATTACCCTTCATAATGAGGGTAGGCCTCATCTAATCAGTTGAAGGCCTTACAAACAAAGACTAAAGTTTTCAGGGGGGAAAAAAAAGAAAGAAATTCTCCTCAAGACTGCAAGATTTGCAACTCAAAACAGCAACATCAACACTCACCTGAGAGTCCAGCCTGCTGACCTGCTCTACAAATTTCAGACTTGTCAGATTCCACAATTGCATGAACTAATTCCTTAAAATAAAACTCTCTCTCGCTCTCTCTCTCTCTCCATATAAAAATAGCTAATATAATAATTTAATATATCTTATATATAATATATATAAAACTCATTTAACATCATGTCTAATGCAGTGATCTATTATCAATCTATCTATCATCTAATCTTGTTGGTTCTGTTTCTCTGGAGAATACTGACTAATACAGTTAGTGTTACATGAAGAAGATTAAAAGTAAAATATATTAGTAATTTGACTTTCATTCTTGATGATCAAGTTAGTGGGATGTTTCTAGAATCCTAATGATTAAAAGGAAAACTTTCTCCAAACAGAACACAAGCAAAGGGGTAAAGTAAGGGAACAGTCCTTTACCAACTTGTTTCAAAGTAGATTTTTATGATCTAAAAAGTAGATTCCATGGCTTAAATTCTACTTTTTTTCCCCTTCATTTCTGAAGAGATATCTCTGCTAACCTAAGAGTTAAGAAGAGGGTCTAAATGGACTTTATGTCCACCTGATAACAAGGCAGAGACTTAATAAAAATCTTAAACCAAAGAGCCTCACTGATCGGCAGTGAGAATCACTTGGAGCCACATTTCCATCTTCTCTCTGGTCTTGGCTCACCCCTTCTCAGAAAGAGCCCCTTGGCTTTTAATCCTCACTATGGAAACCCCTCCAGGGCCCAGAGAAGGAGCCTAGAAATCTCATTCAAAGCACCCGTCCCTCTCATTGCTGCCTTTTTGATTTCTGAACACAATATTTTATCTACCTTCTAAACCGTGCATATCCTGTCACTATGATTTAACAATGACATTAAGTGGGATTCTGATAAAATCAAAGCAAGAATATATGTGAGGATCATTTGTAAATGGTGGGGTTAGCAAATTAAATGCATCTATACTGTTTGAAATAATAACTACCATTTCATGTGCTTGCTATATGCCAACTACTGTTCTAAGCAATGCACATGTAGTAACTTACTTAATGATCACAAGTAGTTTTACTCACTTGAAAGAGGAAAAGTCTAAGGCACAGGTATGTTGTACAAATTTTCAAAGATTACTCAATTAGTAAGTAATAGAACTAGAGTCCAAAAAGTTTGTACTTTTAACCACTTATATCTCACTATCCTCTCAAAAAAGCTCCAAAGGGATTCAAAGGACTATTTCCAGTAGGTATGACAGGCATGCACCAATGGTTTTTAGTAATCTTCGCATTCCATTCTAACACTGAAATTCATGTTAAATTTTCACATCTGTACTATAACCCCTTTCTGAAACCCTAAATAATTACACAGCAGATTGTTTACTTAGTAATGCATCAATCCATTCTGCTTTTGCCAGCCGAGAAGCTCTGAAAAGTCAACGTTAACACCTACTGTCATTAAGTGAAAGATTTATATCCCAAAGGTTCTCTTACTATCTCATCTTTAACCATTTCTGAGAATCTGACATGCTGGCTCTGGGGATTTTGTTTCTTTGTCTATACTCTCTTCTATCATCCTGCACAAAAGTCTCACTCATACTTTTATCTCTCTATTCATTCCTGGTTTTCAGTATCATAGCTGAGCCCAAGCACCAGTCACATATGTACACAGTGGGCTATTGTGCTCTTCTCACCCACATTTCCCTCCTCAGCAGCAACACTCCCCCGACATGATGCTGGATCCTTCAGGTGTAGAATCTTAGCGGGCAGCAGCAGAAATTGAGAAGGAACAGGAAGGAGCAGAGAGGCAGTCACAGAATAGAACATCTCACCACAGCCTGGAGGTAGAAACACATGATCAGGAAGTCTAATCCCTAAAAGCCAATGGTCCTCCATTGATTTGGTTCACACAGGGAACTTCTACAGGTCAGTGCTTAAAGGCCTGGGCACTAGGGTCAAAGTGTGTAGTTTGGAACCTAGTGCTGCCAGTTACCAAATATGTCCCTTGGTAAGTGATCTGACCTCTCTGAGTCTCTGACACCTTCACATAAGAGACAGTGCGGTGCGTATAAAACTCTTAGCTCAACACTTGGCAATGACACTTTGTAACCCACAAATGTCAACTATTATTACTTAGAGTCATAGTTTTAGACTTGGGTCACCTTTTGGAAGTCAATGCCTAATTTTTATTGATTGGGAAATTGAGGAAGAGAAAGGAAGTAATTTGTCTGAGGGTACATAGCAGATTTTCTCATTCAACAGGCCAGGACATTTGCCATACCGTAATTAGCCTTTCTAGAAACTTCTTGGTCACAGTGCCACTTCTATTGTGTGTGCTTTGTACATGAAAGGCCAATGTTTATAAGTTGTTTTTCTTCTTCAGTTGATGGATATATGCTGAGCCATTATCTCACCTATCTGCTCGTAGGAAAACACAGAAACCTAGACAGGATTAGGGATGCCAGAGATGGGTATGGATCACAGCAGAGTAAACAGCATCCACCACAGCCTCACAAACACGGCTGTGGGCAATGAAGTAATCAGCCACATAGAGACCTAGAATAAAAGAAAAAAAAAAAAAAAACAGGGCCATACTGACCACAGAATTCATCTCTCCAATTCCTGCCAACTGTAGGTTGACAGAAACAGGTCCTGATGTATATTAAAAGACCCTGTGCACAAGTATATTCATTGACCTCAAATTCTGTCTTCATTAATCCAGTCTGAACTACAAAGAAAAAATTTTAAAAATACTTTTAATTCTGAACCGACTGGAATAAAAAATATAAGATTATATCATTTACATAGTGATGGTCTAGCCCTACAGTAAGTTCTAAGAACCTCCTCTGAGCTAATTCTGAGGAATAAATGAATCAAATGTGATCGATACCACTTCATCCACACTCACAGGTGCCCACAGAATACCCATCGGGACCTAAAAAGAATTACTGACTGCAGGCCTGGACTCAGGGGACTCAACTTGGACATGGCCTTGCCCCTCAAAGCTGAATTAGAGCTTTCCTGGGGTCTATAGAGGGTTTTAGAAAGACAGAACTAACTCGTTTTAATCTTGCTTACTCCCAATTAAATCTCTTCATCCAGCTCATGTGTTACCCTCTTCATTGCTAGTTCCCAAATCTCTCTGCAGATCTGTCCTGTGGACTTAAACTTTCAAAAGATATCTGAAGATAGTCAAGTAGAAGTGAGGGATTTAAGGTTTAGGCGCTTTTTTCTTTTCTTTTCTTTCTTTTTTTTTTTTTTTTTGCTCTTTTAGAGACTTTTTTTAAGGAAAGTTTTTGATTCACAGTAAAACTGAGCATAAGGTACAGAGATTACCATATACTCTTTGCCCTGCACATGCATAGTTCTTCCTCACTATCAACAACCCCCAAACAGTAGATTTTTTTTCATTCTTCTCATTCACACTCTGGTTTTTACTGTTTCTTCCTTGACACAAACTGGCAGCTCCCATAGTAAATATGGGGGCATATCCTGTTTTCTCCTTACCATGTTTATTTCTGCCTCCGAAGTGCTTCTGTTTTTACTAAAACCGTAGAAGCTTCTCCTCCCACCATACTCACACCACACACAAAAAGTAGTTGGAAAAACATCTTAATTATTTCAAACCGCAACACCACTTAACTACAGAGAAGGAAGCTTTAGAAACTCAGAGTGAAACAAAAGGCTCAACTAGACTAAAACCTTAGGGTGTGGCCATAGCCAGTCACTGCAAAACCCAGAGCCAGACCCAGACTTCCTAAATCTCAGCTCAGTCCTCTTTCTACTAGATTAAGACTTTTAAGACGCCCTTCTTTGCCTGTGATGAATAACATCTGATAATTCATTAATGAAACACCCGTTGGGAGTTGGGCAGCCATTGTCCCTGTCCCTCTGATAATGAATTGCTACTGTAAGACAAACTGCTGTGGGGAAGAGGCTAGGGTGTGTGTGTAGGGTTTGAGGAAGTAGGCTGCATTTTTGTAGTGATGATAATAGATGAAAGGATATATATTTCAGTCGAGATGTAGTAGAAGGCAAGAGTGGGCTGGGAACCAGATACTGGATATGCTACTAACTTGCTGTGTGACCTCATGGAAATCGGATTTCCTCTCTGGGTCTCAGTTTCCTAATCTATAAAGTATAATGATTTCTTACCACCCTTGCAGAAATACATGATTCTAGCAGAGACCATGAAGGGAAGAAGGGGACAGAGGGAGAAAAGGAGAATGAGGAAGGAAGATGAACAAAAGGGACAGAAGTGTGTGTGTGAGGAAGGGAAGAGAGTTGTGAAAGATAGGAAATGCCTCTTAATAAGATAGCGAAAAGTTGAAAATGAAACTGTGGGTCTCTTGAGGGCTCTATTTTTTTTATCTTTATGCAATTTTAGTGTTTACACGTACATGGTAATTTTGAGGAAAATAAAGATTGGATGGATAGCCTGAGAAGGCTAAGTAGAGAAAAAAAGAGCGAAGGAAGAAATGAGAGGGAGCGAGCACCGGAGCGCTTTGTGTAGCTCCTCGGGTTGCCCCCACATCGCGGGCAGGACCTCCTGGCCGAGGGCGCGGTGGCCCACGCGCGTGCTGCAGCGCTCCCACCGGTTTCCTCAGCGAGAGGCCCTGAAACCGCCAGGAGGCGCTGTGCGGCGGCCGAGACCTGGCGCGGGGCGGAGCTGCTTTAAATTGCGGCGCCCGGCAGGTTGGCGTCTCAGTCTCGGAGCCTGGGAGCAAACGCAGCTTTTCGCACCCCGACTCCAGCGCCGACCCAGACCAGGACCAGGACCTAGAACCTCTCCAGTGGCAGTGCAGGGAGCAGGGCTCCCCGCAATAACTTCCTGCACGCAGCTCCGCCATCCCCAGGAGCCCCGGGTGCGCCCTTGCAAACTCCGCCTGCTGCACCTGCCACCACTGAGCCAGCCCGGGCGCGCGAGTGAGCTATGGCCAACGCGGGGCTACAGCTACTGGGCTTCATCCTGGCCTTCTTGGGCTGGATCGGAGCCATCGTCAGTACGGCAATGCCCCAGTGGAAAAGTCACTCCTATGCAGGCGACAACATCGTGACGGCCCAGTCCATCTACGAGGGACTCTGGATGTCCTGCGTGTCTCAGAGCACCGGGCAGATCCAGTGCAAAGTCTTCGACTCCTTACTGAATCTGAACAGTGAGTACATTCCTAACCCCCACAGCTGTGACCCTGAGACTGCAACCCCCAGTGGCTCTGTTTTGGGGTAGTGGCTTCCAGCCAATTCTGTTTTGTGATTACATGGTTATGCGTCTTTCGTTGATCAAATCTTTTGATCATGTGCTCTGACGTGAGTAAGTGGGTTTGCGAAAAGGGAGGCCCAGGACTAAGCTCTAGTTTTGCCTCTGATTCCCTGGGTAATACTTTATCTTCTCCTGTAGGTGTGTGGTTTCATCTTAAATTCCAGTGTGAGTGGGGTGGAGATTGAGAGATAAAGGCCAAACTCGAACTTGAGTTCTTAGGTCTCTCCTGGACATTCTAATTCTGTGAAAATTGAAGAATGGTAGGGTTTGGACAAGAAAATGGTACACCCTGAAAAGTTTGGAGCCCGGGAGCTTCTCAAGCTTGTAAAATTAAATAGATAATCCCAAAGTATTAGATAAAAAATTTTAACAATCTATCTTTGCTATGACTTTTCATAGAAGTCACATTCCTACAACTTAGTGTTTTCTACTGACATTTAAGTTTGAATCTTTTGAATCTTTTGATTTTTAAGACCCAGTAAATTGTGGGGAGCCCCTTTTGCATGATGCCTTCAAGAAGCCTCTTAAGAAATTCCCTGAAGGTTTTGTTTTTCCAGCCAAGGGTCTTCAGAAGAGGCAGATTGTGTAGTATTATTTTGGAAAGTGAAGGTTGGTAGTAGGTGGGAAAAGGACAACAAGAAAGAAAAGTTTTAAATAACCCCCCCATCATAATATGAAAGGAAGAGTGAGGATACTGAAAGGTAATGTCACAAAGGAGACACAGGTATGAAAGCAGAAGTCAGCTGGGGAAGGAAGGTAGTGAAAGAGGGTGAGTCTTTTCCAAGTTTCCATCTTGCATAAAGGATTTTCTGTATAATGGATGTTTGCTTCTTCTGTCAGGTTGGAAAGGACTATGTAGAAATCAATATTCTTAAGGATAGTGGAGAGAATGACAGGATGGCTTTTTTCTTTTTTTCCTTTAAAAAAAATTTTTTTTAAGGAAAGCTTTTGAGTGCCCTGTCAGAAATGTTTTAAATTCCCACTTACTTAGGTAATAATTCATGGCTAGAGTATCTTTCTTGAGACACTGCATTTGTTGTCATGCAGCATGTGTCTGTTACGCCCTTGAACTAACTTGAAGAAAAGCTTCCTTAGACTTTGCCTAGATAAACAAGCCTGCTCACCAGCCCCTTTATGGGCTGAGCGTGAGCTGTGTTGTCATTGCTCAAGTTTACTTCAGTTGCTTTGTACACCACTCACATGTGGTTTTGTCAAAAGTCATATACTTTAGGGTTATTAACTCTGTTCTGAATCTGCTTAAATTCCTTGAACACCTGTGGAATTTGATTAGTCAATGTGCATGGTTGTTTCGAGTGTTGTCATTTTAGCTTTTCAAAGTTCCTATTTTAGAATTCCTTTATACTAAATATAAGGAGTATTTTCGGTATACTCCTTTATATAATCATCAGCTCTCTCCATGGAAAGATAAATACATGTAAGGAAACACTGTTAGACATTTGGGGTGTCGTGTTGAGGAACTGTCAGATGGAGAAGTTTCTAAGGGCAATTCTAAAGAGCTCTCTGATTCTTCTGATCAAGTAGTTCATTTTCAACATGTTTAAATAGTCTTCCTTTTAACTTCCTTAAATGACCAATGGGATCAAATCGACTCATGTTGTAGGTACTCAAACATGCCATCCTTACATATAATGTGTTAAAATGTTTTATTTTCATTTATTCCTAGCTAATATAGCTATTACAGTTTTTGAAGTTGTGGTGGAAGAATTAAACAATATCCTCTTCCTCTCTCCATATGCATTTTGGAGATTTCTACCTGATGAGTATATACATATTTTTAAACTCCAAACCAGATTCTTTTTCCTTTTGGTTAAAGCCAGAGATTATTCAAGGTGGGGCTGAGGCCTTTCTCTCAGAACTGATTCCCAGAAGAGGGAGCCTTGACTCACAAGTACTCTCCCCAACTTGCCAATGACTCACTGGATGCCTTTGGATGTAGCCCAGAGAACCTGTTTCCATTTCTCCACCTGGGCAGTGGTGCTCACACACACCTGATATAGAGACCTGAGGTGGTGATTCATTGTCTTATTTTGGTATGTATCTGTGACCTCTAAAGGTAGACAGGATTACCTGTATATATCAGTAGTGTTCCTTGTAAAGGGTTGCATTCCTCGAAGTACTTTTAGGTGAAAAACTCGGCTAGAAGTTTTCTGAAATCGAACTTTGTTGCCTTTGCCAATGGAGCCCCCTTGTCATCTTAAGGTCAAGATACATGAATTTATCAAGGTTTTAGTGCTAGACATGTTAAGAGCCCTTGTCCCTCTGCTCTAAATAGTGTCAGCTGTAAAAAGCAAAATTCCATCAATATCCAAAAGGATACAGTGTGCTTAACGCTATATAGGAAATAGGATATAGCAGGGGGTTTTCTAAGTGGTTCTTGCAAAGCGATTTATGAAAATGTAACTGAGAAACTTCCTGGGGAAACTAATGCTGCACTGTGTATTGTGGTTTTACTATGGCTGAGACAATTTAAATTTTAGCCAAAGTATCTGATATTTATTATCACTGATAACTCCTGCAATTGAAAGTTGGAATATACAAAGGAAAGTAGCAGATACAGTTATAGTGGACTTTTCTAAAGTCAGCTGTACTTCTTGCCTTGTTTCTTCCAATTCTCAAACTTTTGGCAAGCTAGTGTCTGTTTTATGTGCTTAGTTAATTACTTTTACTTGCTTGACTTTAATAGCTAGAGCTGTTCTAAGATGGGGCTGCCCTGGGAGGTTGCATGGTGGGAGGTGTACAAGCAGAGAAATAAGTAAGCATTTTGAAGGAATGTTGTAGGAAGCACCAGACAAATGGGAGGGTAGGCTAGACTCTCTCTAAGTCACATCCAACTTCGGGATTCTGTAATTTGTTTATAAGCTCCTCTAGCCTGCTTAACTTGCTTTGCATGAATCCACATGTGTGTAGGAGTGCTTAATGAGTATTGGTTGTTAGTGAGGTTTCTCAGCACTCTCACCATGATGTCAGGCTCAATCAAAGAGACAAAATCACTAAGTTGAACAGACTTTGAAGCATAGGCAGAGAGGAG